TATTAAAAGAGAATTGTAGCATTCCTCGATTATTACATGTACTCTGAGTTTATAATTTTTAATATTTGCGAAAATTATATGCGGGTTTTAGAGGGTGTTACATAGGACATAGAGCAGGAGGGATCTGATATAGTCTCCTCATTACGTGGCCAGATATTGGCCATGTGTCGCTCATCATGAAAGACGCGGGTGGAGTATTTGGTGAACTGTGTGAGTTTTTATATTTTGATTTGGTGGATTGAAGAAGAATTGATCTTCTTTGGAATTAATTCGTGTGGGACGCAGAAATTGATTTGATGTGTTAAATGGATTTAAAATGTTTTGAATTTGAATAATTAATTGGTAAGGCGTTGAGTCAACTATTTGATTACTCGAGGATTTATATCCTACTATTTGTAAAAATATATTAGAATTAATTTGATAAAAAAACGTTTGAATTTATATACATGTTAATGATTTATTTACGAGTTAATGATGATGTTTGAATTAGAACCGAGAAGGAAATCTTAAAGTAAACACAAGCTGATATTCTTATTATTTTTTAATTAAAAATAAAAACTTAGATTAACTAAATTTAACGAACTAAAAACCTGATTAAAAGAAATAAATTAAATAAATTTCTAAACTAAATGCATATAAAAATTAGAAAGATGCACATATAAAGATATAACTTAATTACTAAATTAATTAATGAAACCAAAATAAATGAAAATGAAAAGAAAAAAGGATATAAAATAGCAAAAACAAAAACATAACATGTATATGCAGTAAATGTCCTCCATGTTGTATCTCTAAGTGTATTTTTTTAAATCTTCCAAAGGTCCAATTGCATGGAGACACGTGACAGACCAAATAAAATAATAATAAAAAACAATAAACATATTTATCCAAACATTTTCTTTCATGGTTTTAGAACCAAAATATGCAGATGAAAAACTTCTAACTCTTTATCTTTTCTTTCAAATTACATTAACAAGAATACAACATCATTATATCATGTTTCAAGATCTATCATCAAAACAAAACACAAACTTGTGGAAAATATTCACAAAGATGCATGGTCGATCAGAGTGAATGGAGTATCGGCGGTGGTGGTTGTACGTAGATCGGAAGGGATGCTAAAAGTTTCTAGCAGCACGCGGCAGCAGTGAGTGTGATGTAACTCGCAGCTGATGGTGGACCGCGCGATTGAAGATTGGTTGCAGACTCTATTCATGTGTGTGGTGGTCGTCAGCATCGGTGGTGTGCGGATCTGGTTGACGTTTCCGATGGTATGCTAATGTGTGATGTGTTGTGATGGCTTGAGCGTGGAAATATCAAATTTCAAGATGGAGGTCGCGATCAGAGGAAGGCGTTGTGCGGCTATTCAGGTGTCGTACGATGGTGTTGTTGCGTGCTTTTCGGTGGTTGTGAAAGAAATTGATTTGCGCTTAATCTTTCTTTGAATTTAACCCTATTATTTTCTCTTAAAAGCATTTTTCCAGGGTAGCTCTATTTCTTTCTCCAGTTATTTTCCAACATCTTTATCTCTCAACTCCTTCTTTCACCCGTAAAATAATTCGACGACATAAATTGGCGACGACAGATTCATTCACGGTGTTGGACTACGAATGACGACGGTTGGAGGAGTTGTTGTTGATATTGTTTGATAGTGTTGCTTTTGGATTTGTTTCTCATACTTTCTATTCAGAAACCTTAGAATAAACCAAAAGTAAGAGAAAGATTGAGATTGTGAATTTGTGGATTTCTGGATGAAAAATTATATTGGACAATAGTCCTATTTATAGACTTAGAATTAGGTTAAAAAAACTTAGCAGGTAAGTTACCCAAAAACCAAGAGAATCCCAAAGCCTGGTCTCTAAAAAAGGAAATAAAATTAATAACAAAAAATTGAAAGTATGAGTGCAGAGGCTAAGCTCTAATTCCAGTGATCGTAGACGCGGTTCACAGTTGATTATTTATAGGAATTCTCCTTAATCCTTTTTTAGAAAATATCTTGTAATTTTTTATTATGTTAGTAGGTAAAAAAGTTTTGAATGTTGGTTAGCTATTTTATTATTTGATTGGTCGATAAAGAGTATGGTAAGACATATAGCAGGAGGGATCTGATATAGTCTCCTCATCACGTGGCCAGATATTGGCCATGTGTCGCTAATCATGAAAGACGCGGGTGGAGTATTTGGTGAACTGTGTGAGTTTTTATATTTTGATTTGGTGGATTGAAGAAGAATTGATCTTCTTTGGAATTAATTCGTGTGGGACGAAGAAATTGATTTGATGTGTTCAATGGATTTAAAATGTTTTGAATTTGAATAATTAATTGGTAAGGCGTTGAGTCAACTATTGGATTACTCGAGGATTTATATCCTACTATTTGTAAAAATATATTAGAATTAATTTGATAAAAAAACGTTTGAATTTATATACATGTTAATGATTTATTGACGAGTTAATGATGATGTTTGAATTAGAACCGAGGAGGAAATCCTAAAGTAAACACAAGCTGATATTTATTATTTTTTAATTAAAAATAAAAATTTAGATTAACTAAATTTAACGAACTAAAATCCTTATTAAAAAAATAAATTAAATAAATTTCTAAACTAAATGCATATAAAAATTAGAAAGATGCACATATAAAGATATAACTTAATTACTAAATTAATTAATGAAACCAAAATAAATGAAAATGAAAAGAAAAAAGGATATAAAATAGCAAAAACAAAACCACAACATGTATATGCAGTAAATGTCCTCCATGTTGTATCTCTAAGTGTATTTTTTTAAATCTTCCAAAGGTCCAATTGCATGGAGACACGTGACAGACAAAATAAAATAATAATTAAAAACAATAAACATATTGATCTAAAATTTTCTTTCATGGTTTTAGAACCAAAATATGCAGATGAAAAACTTCCAACTCTTTATCTTTTCCTTCAAATTCCATTAACAAGAATACAACATCATTATATCATGTTTCAAGATCTATCATCAAAACAAAACACAAACTTGTGGAAAATATTCACAAAGATGCATGGTCGATCAGAGTGAATGGAGTATCGGCGGTGGTGGTTGTACGTAGATCGGAAGGGATGCTAAAAGTTTCTAGCAGCACGCGGCAGCAGTGAGTGTGATGTAACTCGCAGCTGATGGTGGACCGCGCGATTGAAGATTGGTTGCAGACTCTATTCATGTGTGTGGTGGTCGTCAGCATCGGTGGTGTGCGGATCTGGTTGACGTTTCCGATGGTATGCTAATGTGTGATGTGTTGTGATGGCTTGAGCGTGGAAATATCAAATTTCAAGATGGAGGTCGCGATCAGAGAAAGGCGTTGTGCGGCTATTCAGGTGTCGTACGATGGTGTTGTTGCGTGCTTTTCGGTGGTTGCGAAAGAAATTGATTTGCGCTTAATCTTTCTTTGAATTTAACCCTATTATTTTCTCTTAAAAGCATTTTTCCAGGGTAGCTCTATTTCTTTCTCCAGTTATTTTCCAACATCTTTATCTCTCAACTCCTTCTTTCACCCGTAAAATAATTCGACGACATAAATTGGCGACGACAGATTCATTCACGGTGTTGGACTACGAATGACGACGGTTGGAGGAGTTGTTGTTGATATTGTTTGATAGTGTTGCTTTTGGATTTGTTTCTCATACTTTCTATTCAGAAACCTTAGAATAAACCAAAAGTAAGAGAAAGATTGAGATTGTGAATTTGTGGATTTCTGGATGAAAAATTATATTGGACAATAGTCCTATTTATAGACTTAGAATTAGGTTAAAAAAACTTAGCAGGTAAGTTACCCAAAAACCAAGAGAATCCCAAAGCCTGGTCTCTAAAAAAGGAAATAAAATTAATAACAAAAAATTGAAAGTATGAGTGCAGAGGCTAAGCTCTAATTCCAGTGATCGTAGACGCGGTTCACAGTTGATTATTTATAGGAATTCTCCTTAATCCTTTTTTAGAAAATATCTTGTAATTTTTTATTATGTTAGTAGGTAAAAAAGTTTTGAATGTTGGTTAGCTATTTTATTATTTGATTGGTCGATAAAGAGTATGGTAAGACATAGAGCAGGAGGGATCTGATATAGTCTCCTCATCACGTGGCCAGATATTGGCCATGTGTCGCTAATCATGAAAGACGCGGGTGGAGTATTTGGTGAACTGTGTGAGTTTTTATATTTTGATTTGGTGGATTGAAGAAGAATTGATCTTCTTTGGAATTAATTCGTGTGGGACGAAGAAATTGATTTGATGTGTTCAATGGATTTAAAATGTTTTGAATTTGAATAATTAATTGGTAAGGCGTTGAGTCAACTATTGGATTACTCGAGGATTTATATCCTACTATTTGTAAAAATATATTAGAATTAATTTGATAAAAAAACGTTTGAATTTATATACATGTTAATGATTTATTGACGAGTTAAGGATGATGTTTGAATTAGAACCGAGGAGGAAATCCTAAAGTAAACACAAGCTGATATTTATTATTTTTTAATTAAAAATAAAAATTTAGATTAACTAAATTTAACGAACTAAAATCCTTATTAAAAAAATAAATTAAATAAATTTCTAAACTAAATGCATATAAAAATTAGAAAGATGCACATATAAAGATATAACTTAATTACTAAATTAATTAATGAAACCAAAATAAATGAAAATGAAAAGAAAAAAGGATATAAAATAGCAAAAACAAAACCACAACATGTATATGCAGTAAATGTCCTCCATGTTGTATCTCTAAGTGTATTTTTTTAAATCTTCCAAAGGTCCAATTGCATGGAGACACGTGACAGACCAAATAAAATAATAATTAAAAACAATAAACATATTGATCTAAACATTTTCTTTCATGGTTTTAGAACCAAAATATGCAGATGAAAAACTTCCAACTCTTTATCTTTTCTTTCAAATTCCATTAACAAGAATACAACATCATTATATCATGTTTCAAGATCTATCATCAAAATAAAACACAAACTTGTGGAAAATATTCACAAAGATGCATGGTCGATCAGAGTGAATGGAGTATCGGCGGTGGTGGTTGTACGTAGATCAAAAGGGATGCTAACAGTTTCTAGCGGCGCGCGGCAGCAGTGAGTGTGATGTAACTTGCAGGTGATGGTGGACCGCACGATTGAAGGTTGGTTGCAGACTCTATTCACGTGTGTGGTGGTCGTCGGCATCGGTGGTGCGCGGATCTGGTTGACGTTTCCGATGGTGTGCCGTGTTCGCTTTCGGCTGGATTTCACGGACATAGAAAGAGGGTTGATGGTATGCTAATGTGTGATGTGTTGTGATGGCTTGAGCGTGGAAATATCAAATTTCAAGATGGAGGTCGCGATCAGAGGAAGGCCTTGTGCGGTTGTTCAGGTGTCGTACGATGGTGTTGTTGCGTGCTTTTCGGTGGTTGCGAAAGAAATTGATTTGCGCTTAATCTTTCTTTGAATTTGACCATATTATTTTCTCTTAAAAGCATTTTTCCAGGGTAGCTCTATTTCTTTCTCCAGTTATTTTCCAACATCTTTATCTCTCAACTCCTTCTTTCACCCGTAAAATAATTCGACGACATAAATTGGCGACGACAGCTTCATTCACGGTGTTGGACTACGAACGACGGCGGTTGGAGGAGTTGTTGTTGATATTGTTTGATAGTGTTGCTTTTGGATTTGTTTCTCATACTTTCTTTTCAGAAACCTAAGAATAAACCAAAAGTAAGAGAAAGATTGAGATTGTGAATTTGTGGATTTCTGGATGAAAAATTATATTGGACAATAGTCCTATTTATAGACTTAGAATTAGGTTAAAAAAACTTAGCAGGTAAGTTACCCAAAAACCAAGAGAATCCCAAAGCCTGGTCTCTAAAAAAGGAAATAAAATTAATAACAAAAAATAGAAAGTATGAGTGCAGAGGCTAAGCTCTAATTCCAGTGATCGTAGACGCGGTTCACAGTTGATTATTTATAGGAATTCTCCTTAATCCTTTTTTAGAAAATATCTTGTTATTTTTTATTATGTTAGTAGGTAAAAAAGTTTTGAATGTTGGTTAGCTATTTTATTATTTGATTGGTCGATAAAGAGTATGGTAAGACATAGAGCAGGAGGGATCTGATATAGTCTCCTCATCACGTGGCCAGATATTGGCCATGTGTCGCTAATCATGAAAGACGCGGGTGGAGTATTTGGTGAACTGTGTGAGTTTTTATATTTTGATTTGGTGGATTGAAGAAGAATTGATCTTCTTTGGAATTAATTCGTGTGGGACGAAGAAATTGATTTGATGTGTTAAATGGATTTAAAATGTTTTAAATTTGAATAATTAATTGGTAAGGCGTTGAGTCAACTATTGGATTACTCGAGGATTTATATCCTACTATTTATAAAAATATATTAGAATTAATTTGATAAAAAAATGTTTGAATTTATATACATGTTAATGATTTATTGACGAGTTAATGATGATGTTTGAATTAGAACCGAGGAGGAAATCCTAAAGTAAACACAAGCTGATATTTTTATTATTTTTTAATTAAAAATAAAAACTTAGATTAACTAAATTTAACGAACTAAAAACCTGATTAAAAGAAATAAATTAAATAAATTTCTAAACTAAATGCATATAAAAATTAGAAAGATGCACATATAAAGATATAACTTAATTACTAAATTAATTAATGAAACCAAAACAAATGAAAATGAAAAGAAAAAAGGATATAAAATAGCAAAAACAAAAACACAACATGTATATGCAGTAAATATCCTCCATGTTGTATCTCTAAGTGTAGTTTTTTAAATCTTCCAAAGGTCCAATTGCTTGGAGACACGTGACAGACCAAATAAAATAATAATAAAAAACAATAAACATATTGATCCAAACATTTTCTTTCATGGTTTTAGAATCAAAATATGTAGATGAAAAACTTCCAACTCTTTATCTTTTCTTTCAAATTCCATTAACAAGAATACAACATCATTATATCATGTTTCAAGATCTATCATCAAAACAAAACACAAACTTGTGGAAAATATTCAAAAAGATGCATGGTCGATCAGAGTGAATGGAGTATCAGCGGTGATGGTTGTACGTAGATCGGAAGGGATGCTAACAGTTTCTAGCGGCGCGCAGCAGCAGTGAGTGTGATGTAACTCGCCGGTGATGGTGGGCCACACGATTGAAGGTTGGTTGCAAACTCTATTCACGTGTGTGGTGGTCGTCGACATCGGTGGTGCGCGGATCTGGTTGACGTTTCCGATGGTGTGCCGTGTTCACTTTCGGCTGGATTTCACGGACATAGAAAGAGGGTTAATGGTATGCTAATGTGTGATGTGTTGTGATGGCTTGAGCGTGGAAATATCAAATTTCAAGATGGAGGTCACGATCAGAGGAAGGCCTTGTGCGGTTGTTCAGGTGTCGTACGATGGTGTTGTTGCGTGCTTTTCGGTGGTTGCGAAAGAAATTGATTTGCGCTTAATATTTCTTTGAATTTGACCCTATTATTTTCACTTAAAAGCATTTTTCCAGGGTAGCTCTATTTCTTCCTCCAGTTATTTTCCAACATCTTTATCTCTCAACTCCTTCTTTCACCCATAAAATAATTCGACGACATAAATTGGCGACGACAGCTTCATTCACGGTGTTGGACTACGAACGACGGCGGTTGGAGGAGTTGTTGTTGATATTGTTTGATAGTGTTGCTTTTGGATTTATTTCTCATACTTTCTTTTCAGAAACCTTAGAATAAACCAAAAGTAAGAGAAAAATTGAGATTGTGAATTTGTGGATTTCTGGATGAAAAATTATATTGGACAATAGTCCTATTTATAGACTTAGAATTAGGTTAAAAAAACTTAGCAGGTAAGTTACCCAAAAACCAAGAGAATCCCAAAGCCTGATCTCTAAAAAAGGAAATAAAATTAATAACAAAAAATAGAAAGTATGAGTGCAGAGGCTAAGCTCTAATTCCAGTGATCGTAGACGCGGTTCACAGTTGATTATTTATAACAATTCTCCTTAATCCTTTTTTAGAAAATATCTTGTAATATTTTATTATGTTAGTAGGTAAAAAAGTTTTGAATGTTGGTTAGCTATTTTATTATTTGATTGGTCGATAAAGAGTATGGTAGGACATAGAGCAGGATGGATCTGATATAGTCTCCTCATCACGTGGCCAGATATTGGTCATGTGTCGCTCATCATGAAAGACGCGGGTGGAGTATTTGATGAACTGTGTGAGTTTTTATATTTTGATTTGGTGGATTGAAGAAGAATTGATCTTCTTTGGAATTAATTCGTGTGGGACAAAGAAATTGATTTGATATGTTAAATGGATTAAAAATGTCTTGAATTTGAATAATTAATTGGTAAGGCGTTGAGTCAACTATTTGATTACTCGAGGATTTATATCCTACTATTTGTAAAAATATATTAGAATTAATTTGATAAAAAAACGTTTGAATTTATATACATGTTAATGATTTATTTACGAGTTAATGATGATGTTTGAATTAGAACCGAGGAGGAAATCCTAAAGTAAACACAAGCTGATATTTTTATTATTTTTTAATTAAAAATAAAAACTTAGATTAACTAAATTTAACGAACTAAAAACCTGATTATAAGAAATAAATTAAATAAATTTCTAAACTAAATGCATATAAAAATTAGAAAGATGCACATATAAAGATATAACTTAATTACTAAATTAATTAATGAAACCAAAATAAATGAAAATGAAAAGAAAAAAGGATAGAAAATAGCAAAAACAAAAACACAACATGTATATGCAGTAAATGTCCTCCATGTTGTATCTCAAAGTGTATTTTTTAAATCATCCAAAGGTCCAATTGCATGGAGACACGTGACAGACCAAATAAAATAATAATAAAAAACAATAAACGTATTGATCCAAACATTTTCTTTCATGGTTTTATAACCAAAATATGCAGATGAAAAACTTCCAACTCTTTATCTTTTCTTTCAAATTCCATTAACAAGAATACAACATCATTATATCATGTTTCAAGATCTATCATCAAAACAAAACACAAACTTGTGGAAAATATTCACAAAGATGCATGGTCGATCACAGTGAATGGAGTATCGGCGGTGGTGGTTGTACGTAGATCGGAAGGGATGCTAACAGTTTCTAGCGGCGCGCGGCAGCATTGAGTATGATGTAACTCGCCGGTGATGATGGACCGCGCGATTGAAGGTTGATTGCAGACTCTATTCACGTGTGTGGTGGTCGTCGGCATCGGTGGTGCGCGGATCTGGTTGACGTTTCCGATGGTGTGTCGTGTTCGCTTTCGGCTGGATTTCACGGACATAGAAAGAGGGTTGATGGTATGCTAATGTGTGATGTGTTGTGATGGCTTGAGGGTGGAAATATCAAATTTCAAGATGGAGGTCGCGATCAGAGGAAGGCCTTGTGCGGTTGTTCAGGTGTCGTACGATGGTGTTGTTGCGTGCTTTTCGGTGGTTGCGAAAGAAATTGATTTATGCTTAATCTTTCTTTGAATTTGACCCTATTATTTTCTCTTAAAAGCATTTTTCCAGGGTAGCTCTATTTCTTTCTCCAGTTATTTTCCAACATCTTTATCTCTCAACTCCTTCTTTCAGCCGTAAAATAATTCGACGACATAAATTGGCGACGACAATTTCATTCACGGTGTTGGACTACGAACGACGACAGTTAGAGGAGTTGTTGTTGATATTGTTTGATAGTGTTGCTTTTCGATTTGTTTCTCATACTTTCTATTCAGAAACCTTAGAATAAACCAAAAGTAAGAGAAAGATTGAGATTGTGAATTTGTGGATTTCTAGATTAAAAATTATATTGGACAATAGTCCGATTTATAGACTTAGAATTAGGTTAATAAAACTTAGCAAGTAAGTTACCCAAAAACCAAGAGAATCCCAAAGCCTGATCTCTAAAAAAGGAAATAAAATTAATAACAAAAAATAGAAAGTATGAGTGCAGAGGCTAAGCTCTAATTCCAGTGATCGTAGACGCGGTTCACGGTTGATTATTTATAGCAATTCTGCTTAATCCTTTTTTAGAAAATATCTTGTAATTTTTTATTTTGTTAGTAGGTAAAAAAGTTTTGAATGTTAGTTAGCTATTTTATTATTTGATTGGTTGATAAAGAGTATGGTAGGACATAGAGCAGGAGGGATCTGATATAGTCTCCTCATCACGTGGCCAGATATTGGCCATGTGTCGCTCATCATGAAAGCCGCGGGTGGAGTATTTGGTGA